AGCTAGCTGGGTACCACTCCCGGCGGCGGCCATGGTGGATGCGTACTGACAAGAGCGGAGGACCGAGCAACGTTTATTGTGTCACGAGGACCACCGTGCACTGTAACAACGTAAACAAACGACAAAGAAACGTTTTACAATTCTACAATCACTTCCTGGGCTTAGGTCACGGTTTTCCACGTGTGACGTCATCATGCACTAATGCGAGGTGAACTTAACGGCGAAGGTAGATTTAAAAAACTCATCACAGAGAACAATAAGATCAAGTCCACAACCAGACAATAAAAAAATACAATAAATCAACCAAAGTTACAACCAAAATCCAAAATAAGTAACTGAATTAGCTAATTATATTAATAAAAGAAAAACTCATCACCACCATCATCCTCCTCCCCAAGAGATAAGGGAAACAAGGCTGAGCTGAGCCATTTACCGGGCAGACACGAGAGACTTCAATGAACAGGAGGAAGTTATCAGGTCCCTCCCTTCCCCCCCCCTCCCCTCCTTCCTCTTCTCTACGACCACAACACAACAGTACTGGACTTTTAATAAGGAGCGTCTCAAGACCAACAGAACTTTAACCAAGACCCTCAAACTCAGGAACACTTAAAAAGATTCGATAATTTTTCTTCTGAGACAAGTGAAATTTTAATCCACATTCTACTAGACGACTAAAAATTTAACCCAGATTTTTTGCCAAGATGAAATTATAATGTAGATTTTTCTTAAGACAATGAAATGTTGTAATGTAATATTCTCCTAACTAAATCACTCACATTTCTCCCCCAAGACAAAATAAGAATATCTCAGCCATAAGGATTTTTTTTTACAAGACAACCACAGTTTCTCTTAAGACAAAAATCAAAACAACAAACTTAAAAACAACTCAATCTATTGGTTAATTATAGAGAATTCACCAAAACAACCAGACTTCTCAAACACAAGGAACAAAACACCAAAGAAATTATCAACAACTTAAGACAATGAACCAATATTTCAAGGTTTCCGAAGTTAATTAAAAAAAAAAGTTGGCTATTATTTTTTATGGTGGGGAACTATTGTTTGTCTTCAATACTTCAATTTTAATTACAATACTCCAAAGCCTAATGAACCACATGGTACTGACGTCATATCATGTTAGGTTATACAAAAATCCATAAAATTTATAAGATAAATACTTTTCCCTATTGATTCCTTTATTATTTATATTTACAAAACACTCATCGTTATAATTACATACCATAAATTACACAAGATGTTATTAATACATTCAGGAAGATGTGTATAAATAAATGTATATAAACAAATCTATATATCTTTGGTAACGAATTTAAAATGGCAGATATAAACAGAACCGGCGGGGCGTGGGGGTCTACCGTAGGCGATGTGGTCGAGAATCTGTTGAAACCCTATACGAGCATCCACCTTCAGGAGACGCCTGCAGCCGCCGCCACCAGAAGACAGGGGAGGTTGCTAAGGCCTAGAATTATACTCTTTAACCCTGGACTTTTACCCTATTATGAAATCTCCCCCTCCTCCGTCTCTCACCCCTACCTCTCCACACGTCTCCAGCCACCAACTGGCCAGCCATACACTGTTGTCATATCGCTAAAATACGTCTTGAACGTCATTTGCTTATTATTATTCTACCTCAAACAAGCGCTTGGGGTCTGAAAGGCATTTATTGTTAGTAATGCAAGTTAATGAAGGCTATATTGGTCAATGCGGTGTTTGGTAAGGGTAGTGTGTTCTCTCACACTGGTGCTGGGAAGAGAGAGGGAGAGTGAGAGGCTGGTGGTGAAGTTGCGAAACTCTCGTACACTGTATAAGAAATAATTATGAAACAGTGGGTCTCGCTGCTCACCAATACCTTCATAATTTTTGTTATATCCATACAACAATTTTTCGTTATTTCCGTCGCCTTTCTCAATATATAAATAAATAAATAAATAAATAAATAAATAAATAACAAGGCCGTTTCTCCCTTTACTTCTTCACCAACGCCGCCACCTTTCCCTGTAACGAAACGTCTCGGGGACTAAATAATTTCAACCAATATATCAAATAATAGTTAATTCAGGTCATGAGGTCCGTGTTTCAGCCCCCCAAACCTGACGTACCAGTTTTTAGAAATGGCTTAGATACGCAAATATACTGAAGCCATCTTGGTTGTACACACGCGCGTTTTCCTTACGGGGCCGTCCCAACCAAACCTTAGCAATGCATGTCAGGGATTCACCTTCGACTTATGGTGGATCTTAGGACATGTAGAATGAAATTGAATTAAAAATAAACATTCGAATTCAACTTTTTAATGATTGTATTACGATAATGGTAGACTTGTGAATTTTGTATAAATGTGAGTCAAGGGGCGAGGGAGGGAAAACAGAGGCTGAGTTATGAATTACAGAGGGTGAAGGAGGAAACGAGGTGAGGGAGGAAACACGGGGGGTGAGGGAGGAAACGAGGTGAGGGAGGAAACATGGGGTGAGGGAGGAAACATGGGGTGAGGGAGGAAACACAGGGGGTAAGGGAGGAAACACAGAGGGTGAGGGAGGAAGAACAGAGGGGTGAGGGAGGAAACACATGGGGTGAGGGAGGAAGAACAGGGGGTGAGGGAGGAAACACAGGGGGTGAGGGAGGAAACACAGGGGGTGAGGGAGGAAGAACAAGGGGGTGAGGGAGGGAGAGGATGTAGGCTGCCGACTCACCGACACACTCCGCCCCGCACGAACCTACACAGCGACTGGGAGAAAAAACCCAAACAGGATAAACAAAACAGAACCCACGTATTACACAATAGGAAGACGGCGTAAATACAAAACAAACAACTTCAAACAACAGCAAACAATACAAAATTATACAACAAATAATACTACAATAAACAACAGCAAACAATCCAAAAATAAACAGCAAACAATAAAAAATTAAACCGCAAACAGTACAATACTAAACATAAACAACAATACACCCAAATATTAAACCAAATGCCCTGAATAAAACATTAAAACACCACTTAATACAACAAAACATACATACGTTTGTTTACTTTCCAATTAATCAATAGTAAAACAATAATAACAGGATTATCCCTTAACACATAGACAGACATACACAGACAGACAGACAGACAGACTCTACAGTAATAAAAAAAACATCAATGGTTCCCAAACATAAACAAACATAACATAACAAAGCCAAAACACACAACATCCGGGGTTTTGTGTGTGTGTGTGTGTGTGTGTGTGTGTGTCTGTCGGGTCCTGGTCGGCACAGTTTAGTTTTACGCTATAACTCTCATCATTTACGCTACTTGTTGGTTTACTGAACGACTTATATGTTTTTTAAATGTCAATACAGAGAGTTAACTTAGGGATGTGACTTAGATAATGTATATAATTATAGGATGTGGTCTTGTCTCAAAGATGTGCTTCAAGTTGTAGGTTCAGGGATGTGTCTCAGATGTTAACACACTCCCCCCATGTGACTGGCAACTGCTGGACGGGGCCCCTCCTCAGATGTAAACAAAACACACGTGACATGACTCCTCTCACGCCCAGCTGATGCCTTCGTGAGGATTTTGGCGGGAACACAATGGCGGAGGTGGTGGTGGTGGGGAGGAGTTGGTGGTGGTGGGGAGGAGTTGGTGGTGGTGGTGGTAGGGAGGAGGGAGTTGGTGGTGGGGAGGAGTTGTGTGGTGGGAGGAGCTGGTGGTGGTGGGGAGGAGTTGGTGGGAGGAGTGGTGGTGGTGGGAGGAGAGGAGTTGGTGGTGGTGGTGGGGGAGTTGGTGGTGGTGGTGGGAGGAGTTGGTGGTGGGAGGAGCTGGTGGTGGTGGTGGGAGGAGTTGGTGGTGGTGGTGGGGGAGGTTGGTGGTGGTGGTGGGGAGGAGTGGTGGTGGGAGGAGAGGTGGTGGTGAGGAGGTGGTGGGGAGGAGTTGGTGGTGGTGGTGGGGAGGAGTTGGTGGTGGTGGGGAGGAAGTGGTGGTGGTGGGGAGGAGGTAGTGGAAGTGGTGAGGAGGTAGTGGTGGTGGGGAGGAGTTGGCTGTGGTGGTGAGGAATTGGTGGTAGTGGGGAGGAAGTTAGTGGTAAACAGAATGAAATTTCCGTACACAGTAAAACCTCCAAATAACGGACTTCTCTCTCCACATAATCCGTTAGATGGTGGAGGATTTAACATCTAACGGACCTTCGACATAACGGACTTTTAATCTCTATATAGTTCATTAGATAGAGGTTTCATATCTAACGGACCCTCGACATAACGGACTTTCTCATCCATATAGTCCGTTATACAGAGGTTTTTTTAAGAGTACCAGGAAACACAGGTTAAACGGTATTTGCTGAAGGACATAAATAAACATCAAGGAGTTTCCCTGCTTGAAGGTGAACGACGTCTGGGAAGTAAATGTGGCAGTATCTCACAAGACCTCTATAACAGCGCAACTCTTCACCCTATACAAGGACGATGGGTTTATGTTTGAGAATGAAGGTTTAACGTAAAACCCTTTTTAGAATAATGGTTTAGGCAACAACCCTCTTAAGGGACTAATTTAAGCTGTAATAATGAAGGGGTTAAAACCATCGTCCGCAAAGGGTTAAAACCATCGTCCTCAAAGGGTTAAAACCAATTTCCTCAAGGGGTTAAAAATCATCCTCAAAGGGTTAAAACCATAGTCCTCAAAGGGTTAAAACCAATTTCCTCAAGGGGTTAAAAATCATTCTCAAAGGGTTAAAACCATAGGTCCTCAAAGGGTTAAAACCAATTTTCTCAAGGGGTTAAAACCATCGTCCTCAAAGGGTTTAAAACCATCGTCCTCAAAGGGTTTAAAACCATCATCCCCAAAGGGTTAAAACCATCGTCCTCAAAGGGTTTAAAACCATCATCCCCAAAGGGTTAAAACCATCGTCCTCAAACTATAGAAATTAACAACAGGTGCAACAGGTGTACTTGAAGACACAAAATACTACCACACAGGTAAAGAAAAGTAAAGTAGTACTGACCGAGTCGATGACGTTCTCGAGAGGTTGGCCGTTCTTGACCTGGTCCTCAGTTAGGCCAAAGTCCTCCCGGCACTGCTCGCCCAACACGTTCTCGTTGATGTCCTCGGTGGGCGGCCTGATGATGTACTGCTGTTCTGTAACCACCTGTAACAACACAACACAGGGTTAGTCTTGGCTCTTGTAGGAGGGAAGTGATGGTAGATGACTAGTGGTGGTGGATGACTGGTGGATGACTGAGGTGGAGTCGGGAAATGAAAAATGCATGAGTGGATGAGGAGGTGGATGATGAGGCTATAGATTGAGACGAGATGGTGGATGACTGGTGGAAGGAGTGGTAGTGGTGGAGTCGGGATGTGGATGAATCGACACAACTGAGAGAAGCCAGGAAATGAAAGGCTTTGGATGAACTGACAATCATTCATTCAGGCGATCCATTCATTATACAAAGCAATGAAATAAAAAAAACACTTGACTCATCGATACGAATATCCTAAATAATAAAAGGATCACCTGAAGATTATTCACCCCCAGCGTTATCTCACCTGCGTTCACCTTTGTATAATATGAATAACAAAAGTAAAGTGTAGTGAAGTATACTCGAGGAAATAAAGAAATAATACACTATGTATTTAAAGCAGTATATATGGTGATGTGGTTCTACACTATGCATACAAATGATAACTTAAACGTATCTTAAGAAAAAGCATATATGGTATTAGGTAAAAGTATCAAAATATTTCATAAAGTGTATTTTTATAACTAGAAAATAATAATAATAATAATAATAATAATAATAATAATAATAATAATAGTAATAATCAATATACCATCAGTAGCTAACCAGACACTTGCCTCACAGTTATGTTAAAGCATCAGTAGTGAACAGGAAGCAAGCAGCCGCCCCCACCCACAACCACTCCTGCCTGCGTGGGGGAGGGTGTGGGGGACAGGCATAGGGGAGGGGGGGGGGTAAGGTAAGGTAAGGGGGGGTGAGGCTTACTGACCATCCAACAAGCACAAGCATAAATAAAAAGCACAGTCGTTAACAAAGCATTATTAATCTGCTAACAACCCAAACATGCAACGTAACTACTATCTACTTTCTAACTACAACACCCAGTTATAACATATACCATAACCAATAACAACCCTTCTATAATCATATCATAAATTACTTCACCAATTAGGTAAAAAACCCGCAATATCACACCTTACGCGAAATCTTATACGCCAGTGCAATAAGATACGCCCTTATACGCTCTCCATCAGTTAGTGAGCGTTACATCATCTCCTCTGATCGGAATATTGATCAACCAATTAAATTTGATCCCGAGTCACAATAAATCTTGCTGTTGGACCAATTAGGTGACGTCATTATCCTGTAATTATCCTCTGCAGTCCAATCAGGTAAAGTCTTTGGTCTCAACAGATTAGTTATGGGGCGGTTACGCATAGAAGCTCATTGGTCGGAATGTAATTATCTACGGTGACCAATCAGGTGAGAGCGCTGATCTGAATAAACTACTTCCTGACCAATCACAGGGAATCACTTGCCAGAACGGACCAATAAACACAAAGATATCGACTCGGAATTCTTAGCTTTACCCAGGTGTGTTTATCGAGTCATCAACACCTTAAAACACCTGCTAATTACCCTCATTAGCATACGAAATCGGGATAAAGGAAAGTGCATTCTTCCCCCTTTAAGTGTTTTACTACCGACACAAGTCCATCAGGTTAAGTGTGTCAAGACAAACCTACTTAACACTCGCTAGATACAATAACGATCACCCTGAAGAACACTGTAGGAAGATATGAGAGAGAGAGAGAGAGAGAGAGACACACAGGCAGAGAAAGAGAGAAACAAAAACAAAAAGACAGAGAGAGAGAGAGAGAGAGAGAAAGGAGGTCAAGAGAAGACAGAGGGAAAAGAAGAATCAACAGAACAGGATGATGAAAGAAAGAGAAGAGAATATATATATATATATATATATATATATATATATATATATATATATATATATATATATATATATATATATATATATATATATATAATGTCTCAAGAAATCTGCATAGACACAAAATCTGAATGGAAATCTGGTTAATCATTAAAAATCGGCATCTTGCCATGGACATCTACACGAAAGCGACAATAACACTAGTTTTATATCACACACAAGAGACCTCAATAGCTCTGTATCCCTAACCTAACCTAACCTTCATGTGACACCTGCTGACACGAGACAAACGGGAGTAAAGGAGGGCACAAAAGGGAGTAAACAGGAGTGAAGGAGGGAACAAACAGGAGTAAAGGAGGAAACAAAAGGGAGTAAAGGAGGGAACAAACGGGAGTAAAGGAGGGAATAAATGGGAATAAAGGAAGGAACAAACGGGAATAAATAAGAGAACAAGCGGGAATAAAGGAGGGAACAAACGGTATTTCCCCAAATTATTATCAGTACACAGGAGAGGGGAAGGGGTAGAGATGGAGGGAAGGGGGGAGGAGGGATGGAGGGAGGGAGTGGACTGGTCAAACCGGTCTATAGGTCAATGCTGGAAGGGTCTAAAACGCTTGCCACTACCATTACTATCTCGCCCTTATTGCATCCTTGGGGGGGGAGGGGGTAAGAGAGGGGTAACCCACTTTGTAACCGGAGTGAAAATCTGGCCTAATTTCCCCCTCCACCACCCCTTCCCTCCTTTCCATCCCCAGTCTGTGTGTGCGTGTGTGTGTATGTATGTGCGTGTGTGTGTGCGTGCGTGTGTGTAATACCCATCTCGCTGACCTGTCCAATTAGGTGACACGGCATTCATGATTCCACCTGTTTACATAAGCCCGATCATGTGGAAATTAAACACCCCAGCTTATTTGCCCATGAAGCTTAGACACCCCAGCTTATTTCCTCATCAAGATTAGACACCCCAGCTTATTTCCTCATCAAGATTAGACACCCCAGCTTATTTCCCCATCAAGATTAAACACCCCAGCTTATTTCCCCATCAAGATTAGACACCCCAGCTTATTTCCCCATCAAGATTAAACACCCCAGCTTATTTCCCCATCAAGATTAAACACCCCAGCTTATTTCCTCATCAAGATTAAACACCCCAGCTTATTTCCCCATCAAGATTAGACACCCCAGCTTATTTCCCCATCAAGATTAGACACCCCAGCTTATTTCCCCATCAAGATTAAACACCCCAGCTTATTTCCCCATGAAGCTTAGACACCCCAGCTTATTTCACCTGATGATTAACCACCCTAAATCAAACTTAACCAAACCCTCCCCAATTAGCGCTCAGGTGTTTAATCATCAGGTAATATACGCCGGGGTGCCTAATCTTCACGTGATCTATCTAAAACTTAGGCGAAATTAAATTCACACGTTCTATCACGTGACAAAACTCACCTAACCTCACCTGTGTAGTTCATTAGCTTCTCGATACACCTGGACCCGCACGTGTTTTCGCCAGGTATTTGTTACACCTGATCTCACCTGCTCATTAACCAACGTGGAACAAGAAGTCTAGACAATATCCGAGGTTAATGAGCTGACCTTAATGATCTTCCAGGAATTACACCTAAAGCCATTATGTTCTCCTTCACCACCTTCTGTTCCTCCTCCTTCTCTCCCTCCTTCTCTCCATGTTCCTTCTCCTACGCCTACTCTCTTCCTCATTCACCCTTGCCTTCTCTCCCTCCTCCGCCATCTCTACCTCCTCCACCAACCCCCTATCCCCACCTCCTCCTCCACCCCCTTCTTCACACCCTTCCCTCCTCCTCCTCCTCCTCTTCAAAGTCAAACAACACCAACATCAATTTCAACTGGGCTAATCAACCAAAGCCACACACACACACACACACACACACTATCCTCATAACCTGATTACGTATAGATAACAAAAAAAATATTATCGGGTTTTCTTTCATTTACTCATAAGATAACGAAACCATTCCACTCCTATGATACGTTTTCGAAAGGTCACTCAATAAGGTCACTCAATAAGGTCACTCAGTATGAAAACGTCACGCCCGGACACTGAGTAACGGGAAAGAGTGTCGAATTAGGATTGAGTTACTGTCTGATATTCTCTCTCTCTCTCTCTCTCTCTCTCTCTCTCTCTCTCTCTCTCTCCATCCTACCCTTCCCTCATCCACAACAACTAGAGAGAGAGAGAGAGAGAGAGAGAGAGAGAGAGAGAGAGATAATAACTTTTCACACCAGCGGTTCAATAAGACAAGAAGGGAGTGAGGGGTGATTGGGGGAGGTGGGGGAAGGGTGAGGGAGGTTGGGGAGGTGGGTGAGGCTAAGGTGAGGGATGGGTGAGGCAGGTGAGGGTTGATTGGGGTAGAGGAGAAAGGTGGTTGAGTAGGGGAGAAGAGAGGAGAGGAGAAAAGTTAGTGGGGATGGGACAGAAAGTAAAGGGGAGGATGGGTGGGGAAATAGGGAGAAGAGAAAGTTAAGCTGGAAAGAAGAAAGCAACAATCATTCATCGTCACACACCAATAAGACCATCATACACCGTCACTGTCTGTTAGTCTCTCTAATGATAACTATTGACCATATTACTTTACCTATCAAAGATCTTGTTTGGTCTCCCGTTAAAAAAAAATCACCTGAAGATTACCCCCCCCCCCTCAAGCTTATTTTACCTGATGATTAAACACCCCAACGTTACCTGGGAGGGTTAGGTTAGGTTTAGGGCGTTTATTTAATCCTAAGTTAGGGGAGTAATCTTCAGGTGATCCCCCCAAAAATGTTTGATCCAGATGACTGCCTGGACCCACCTCCCCCAACACCCTCCTCCACACCCCCACCTCCCCTAACACCCTCCTGCACACCTCCACCTCCCAACACCCCTCCTCCACACCCCACCTCCCCTAACACCCTCCCACTCCACCTCCCCCAACACCCTCCTGCACACCCCACCTCCCCCAACACCCTCCTGCACACCCCCACCTCCTCCAACACCCTCCTGCACACCCCCCACCTCCCCAACACCCTCCTGCACACCCCCCACCTCCCCAACACCTCCTCCACACCTCCCCCCAACACCCTCCTGCACACCCCCACCTCCCCAACACCCTCCTGCACACCCCCACCTCCCCCAACACCCACTCTTGGCTTTCACTCAATTCT